CTGGTACATCAAAAAAACTATAATCCCAAGTTGCGCTGGAGGTCCTTAGATCACCAGTCACAACAAAACTGTTGATCACACAGGCCAACAAAGCTATCTGCTAAACAACCGCAGGAACCCTGCAGAGCCCTCTCAGTTTAATTAAGCCGTAGCAGCGTGAAACAGGAATTTTCCTTCTCCACAGTGAAAAAGGAGGGTGGGAGGTGAGCATTACAGGGTCAGGAGAAAACCGAGCTTAAAAGTGTGTTGGAGCCCCTCTACTCACTGCACAGACAAAGGAAGGTGCCCAGCAATGTCATTAAAGTAAAGAGAAGATGGGTAATAAACATAGGATGTATCTGTGCGATGAGCAGGAGAGAGAGGCCCTGAGACATCCCTTCTAAATCACCAGACCTGCTACCTGTATCGTAACGATACTTGCTTAAAGATTCAAAGCCTGTTATACTGAACACTACAGGATTCTACTCCGGGACACACATCACCTTATTTATAAGCAATTTTAAAAGGACAGTAAAGCAGCAGATGAGAAGGCATTTAATTTCAGCGTTAGAAGCAACGCATAAATGGGCCCTACTGCTACAAAACTGCTAGGCTGGAAGACATTGTTTTCATTTAAATAGAAGCCATTATTTTTATTAATGCTGCATCTTTAATTCAAAACAAAGAGCTATAATTAGACAAACCAGAAAATATTATTCATACTTTTCCTCTTAAAAAGAACCCTACTGACATTCTAGTTTACACATCCAGCCCTTCCCACACGCCTGGTTCTGGAAATAACCTTGTTAAAATACTGGACTTAGGTTTAAATAGTGAATTGCAAATTTCTATTGCCCGTCTTAACCCCTGCCGGACCAACATTATTTCCCTGTGCCTTCACTGCCTTCAGTTGCGAGTCTTCCAGGACAGAGTCCATCGCTCGCTCGTCTGTGTAACGTCCGTACCATGGCAGAGCTCGGGAATTAAGGCAGGATCTTCCAGCTCCGCTACAACAGAAGCCCTCGGTTTCGGACCGCGTCGTGCTCTCAGCTCACCACTTCCCACGCCCGCCCCGATGGATTTCTCTGTTCATCTGTTCTCATCGACATCCACACTCAGCACCGATTATCAAACACGTACGCTACCCGAGGACTCCCAGGCTGAAAAGGACGGGGAAGCCTTCAACGACTTCTGAAGGCACAGCCAGACACAGTTTTCTCCACATAGCCCAGATTTAAGAATTACTAATTATATTACTCTGTTTAGAAGGATCGAGGATCTTTAAAAATATCCCATTACATTTCAAAGCATCTCACCTTCCCATTGCATTAAATTTGCAGGCTTTTTATGACAAAGTAACCCGCTCAGCTACCCCAGCCTAATCCAGAGAGAGACAGACGTGTCCTTGATTTCTTTTATTGCAGTAAAAGCCTGACAACTACTTGGCACTATTACCGCTTATAAGAATGGAAAATAACTGCTCTAAATAAGAGCAGACAACTTCAAGTACCTCTTCAGTAAGCTCCAGCTCACCCCAAGTTCCTCATGATAGACTATTCCCCACTTTCCAGCCAGGGATTTGGTCTGGCAGAGCCCACGTTTCCCTGGAAAGAGGCTGGGCGAGCAGGATCACAGCTCTCACCAGGGATTCCACCGTCTCTCAACAGCAGAGCAAGTTAGGAGCAGTAAACTGCAAAACTACTGTTACAATTATGAGTCAAAACGCAATTTAAATGGTGACTTAAATGTTTTTTTCCCTCCTTTCTACCATATAAACAACTAAAGCAGGATATATACCAGTGAAGTGCAGACTCGCAAGCAGGAAGGTTACTATGTTCAGACAACACCTGGAGACATCAGCTCTAACAGCCACGAGCATCCCTGGCTCTTGGCCACCACCTTTCCTCTTCTCAGGCCAGCAGTCGCTTGGGTGGACCAGCTCCATCCCTGCCAGCAGTGCCCACTGCTCAGCCTTAACTTAGCTAGAGCAGAACAACGGGGACACTAAAACAAGGAGAAACGGACTTTCTCCAACCTAGGCTCCAGCCAGCACGTTAAGCACTCAGCACCAGTTCAACTGAAGAGTCTGGCTGTCAGTGACAGAGACTATCCCTCCAATAATGATAATTCTGTTGCATACGCACACATTTCAGCAGCTATCTGTGGATACCATCACTGAAAAGGCCCCCTCGGGGAAATTGGCTGGAGTCATATTCCTGGATATTCAGAATTAGACAATACTCCAAGTGCAATGATCCTTATCTGCTCCAAGGGCACCACATAAATAAGCCCCAGTAGGTCAGTGCCGTGTTTACACACCTATGGCACAAGGCACACCGAGTCATACCTCCCCTATAATGTCACATGAGGAAACGTTCCCCCTGCGTGCCTTCTGCCACTCTTTAACCAAGGAAAGCACACCCCGGCCAAGCTAGAGAAGCTGATGGAACTTCCTGCATGGAAGTGAAAAACCAGCACCCAAACCGAGCAGATGCCTCGGGGATCTGGCAAACTCAAAAAACCAACAAAACAAGCGCAATTATGCAACCTCGGAAGACAACACTGGTTCCTTCTACGATTTGGGAAGTGAGGTAGAAGCAAGATGCATCTACTGTTCCTGTGTCAACAAGGGTGCTCAGCTTCCTAGGAAGACGACAGTTCTCATCTAAAAGCAAAAAAGTGAAAGAAACCCATATATATATGTGCCCCGTTCTCAGCTCTTGAAAGGAACTGCAGTAACAACGCACACTCAGAAAGATGACGCCCAGCACACGGATGCTGAAAGCCGGGCTCTTTCCCAGCATGATGCACACACATGTGGATGCAGGTTAGAGGAAAACCACTAACACAGGCTTGGGAACGGCAATGGTACGCCTGTACACAGAGATCACAGGGACGCCACTGTTTTTCCCTTAGTTACTGAGCTTGAGGAGGAGCAGAAGGAAAACTCTCTTCCTCTGAAAATTATTACGTCGCTACAAAGGGGGGCAGGGAGACTGGAAGCCTCTTGGCTATGACAGCCGCCGCCAAACACTCAGGCACCAGACCAAGTCCTTGTTGCTGCTTAAAAGGCACAGAAAGGATTGAACAACCTCCACAGCCCCAGTTTTCCCTCCTGTCCCCCAGCCTTGGGGGCGCAGGAAACACGCCGCACCCTGGCGGCGTCCCAGCTGCTCTCCCAGCCCCCCATCCCTGAGGGTGGGGAAG